TAATCGTTAATCACACCACACCCTTTAAGACTTTTCTTTAAGGAAAGGCCCTAATGCATTGCTGACCATAACGTCCTGGAGTAGTAAAGCTCTTCTCCCTCTTTTTTGATTCTTTTAAACTAGCCAACCTGGAAAGACTGTGAAGTCAGACCACAGCCAATGGGAAAAAGACACAGGTCTCATGTGTTAGGTATAAAAGGCTCCCAAGCTTCTAGGTCCAATGTGTACTTGCTTGATCTGACCGATCCCTTTAACGAGAGTAAAACCTGCCTTGCTAAGGTGCTTTTGCTTTGTTCACATGTTCTGTGTGTGGTATTTATGGGGTTCTTGGACCTCAGATTTTATTTCTAACAATTCTTGGCCTCCGTTTTGGATTCTAATTCCACCTAGGAAGAAGTCCAGAACTGTAACCTTGGGGAGCCATGTCCCACTGCCTTGTTGCAGTGGCTGTAATGCTTGAGTATTTGGAACTTCCTGGATCAGTAATGATCCTGAGACTAGAAAGTCTCTTGGTAGTGTAAGGGAAGGGCCCAAGAAAACTCTGCAAAGACCATGTAACTCTGCACGGGCTAAAAAGAAAGAAATGTCATAGAGATGACAAAGCACTGCCTTGGTGGGCAGCATATTCCAGGGATTGGTGGAGCAGTGATCTGCAGTTTTTTCAAGGGAATTTCTCAGAGATTGGTGAAGTAGCAGACTTAGATGCAAGAAATCACCTTCTTAGGGATGAGGGGAGGGGTTGAGCTTCTAAAGGATTTGAATGGGAAATAATTAAGTAAAACTGAGCTTTATTAAAAATATATCTTTTCTTAAAAGGTGTGGGGGGGTGAAAGCAAGAAAGAAAAACATACATTCTCCTGATATGGGGAAATTAACTCCTCCTCCTGGTCCAAGGACAGTCTCTTCTTTTGAAAAATGGTGGATGATGATCAGGAGGACCACAATAGTTATTTGGGAAAAGATCCAGCAGGTTAGAAGGGATGTCCTGGCATACCACAGGTTAAATTCCACAACCAGGACCTCAGATGGGACATCAGTAATGAAGCCCATGGGGAACATATGCTGGTAGGGACTGAGAGATGGCTTGGTCATCAAAGGTTCAGCTCCACACACTTAGTATTTCTGTACATTTTCTCTAAAACTTCCTTCTCGCCAGAACCCATGTGGCTTCTAGTCTACCATGGGTCTGTCCTCTGTGCAGGCTCTGAGCCTGCATGTCCCCTTGGCTTTTTCTTTTCCTTCTCTCCTCCATTCACTTACTCAAGGCAGTTGCCAAGATTTTCAACTTGCTTGCCCTGTAGATTTTTCTAATAAAATTGTTCTGAAGCATCCATGTGATTCTAAAAACCCTCTAGAGGAATTTTTTCTCACCTGTTTCATTGTGGCAAAAACGAAGGGATACCCTAAATTCTAATGATGTGGTTATTTGGTGGCCACACAGAGATTTTCTATAGGCACATGAAATTTGGAATCTAAGTAGGTGGGCTCCCTTTTCTTCCTTGCCATCTTGCATTGAGGCTTTCTTCTTGGCGAAAAGAAGAAAGAAAGAAGGGTGTAAAGGCCACTTTTGTTTGTTTTTTCCCAGTGGTTTTCTCCAAGGGAGGGAGAAATGAGAAGTCAGAGCAGAGGGTCTGGAAGTTAGATCTCAGGCCCTGTTGGGCACCAAGCAGTGCTTAGACCAGGTGGTCCCGAGGCTGCTGCTTTTCTAACTTGATTTAAGCATTTTACATTTCAGTAAACATCAAGAGTCACGTGTCATACTTGGACAGGGCACATGATCTCAGAGCAACAGCCCAACAATGTGTGCTGAACACAGCTCCCCATTTCTTCTGCTGCCTTCATGCGATTCTTTCCAAAAGTAGCTTGTACCTAGTAAAGACAATTTCCAAAGGACATCACTTCCTATTCATAGTTTCACTGCTGAAAGATATGGACTCATTTCCTTGGTTTGAGATCATGAATTCCTATCTTTGTTTTCCTGTTTGAGGCCTACATATCCGAGGGAAATTTCTCCTGCTATATCAAGTCTGACTGAACTTACTGCTTTTCTAAAAGAAAAGGTTTGGGCTGTCGCCATCTATATTATTTTCTGAGATACGTGAATCCCATAGTGTTTGTATCTTGGTGGGAGACAGGCTGATTTTATTATGGCTCACTAAAGTAGCCACATGGCTTTGTTGCCACTATGGTTGGTGACCTCATCAAGAGGGAAGCAACTGTCTGATCTGGTCTCTATCTTGGTTGATAATATCATCAATATGGGAATAGCTATATATTACTTAACCATCTTGGGTAGTAGCAGTTTCAAAATGGTAGTGACCAGTGTGATGTTGCAACAATCATAAATAATCCAACCACATTGGAATAATTAGAAATGGCAATGCCCAGAAACTTACTAATACTACTGAGCCGTAGGGACTCATGATAACCTGGGAATTCCCTGGACTGTACGCATTTAATCAAATGTCCTAATCCACTTGCAATTTTTTTTTCTGTTTTGGTTTTCATCTTGGATTTTTGATGGGATCACAGAAAAAGAAAACAGGGAGATTCCAACACAGTCTGTACTGCCTTGTTACAAGGTCAACGTATTTTTATGTCAGACTATGGAGGTGCCGATGCAAAAGCATAACTCTCACCTAAAAGTGGATAAAAGATAGTTTATTCTGGAGCCAAATATAAGTGACGAATGCTGATAACACAGATTCAAGTTCCCTTAAATTCCATGTTTCAACGTGGTCACAGTTCCCCATGCTGGCCAAGGATCACATTTTGTGCATGCAGGGAACATATTATTCTCACATTGCTAGGAAGGGTCATTCCTGGAATCTGATGTAGATGAGACTCAGTAGCAGGTAGGAAGCTCAAACTTCAGGAAAGAATAGCTAGTCAGTAAAGCCAATAAGGAAAATAAAGTCCTGGATCATACAAAAATT